TAATAAAAATTTCAGGTATTAATAACACACAATTGAAAACTTAGAAGCAAAAAAAGAGTGGCGCCACCTTCCACTGCCCACCCACCGCCAGCGAGTCGCCACTGTTCTAGATACGCCACTACTTGTCGCCTGCTTGATTTTATACCATCTATCAAACTCAATTAGATGCCATTCACATAAAAATATTCAACAGTAAGAAAAAGCAATTTATTCTTAATTTATTTCTTGAGGTAATTACAAAGAAACATGCTCTATTTCCAGGCACACAGTTTTGTAAAAAACATGCTTCAGATAGAAATATAGACAGATAGAAATATACGAGTTGTTCGTGCTAGATGCTAGCCTTTTCGTTTAGTGAAAATGTCACTCAAGTGTATCGTAAACGAGCTATTGCGGTCTGTGTGCCTTTCCTTAACCTACGTAGGAATCACATGTGTAACGTGTATTGGAAGTATCATTACAGCAACTATAACGTTTGCCCCTGAGATGAACGACGTTTAAGTTTTCGAAACTTTCACTCATTCGTACCTATGAGCAAAATACCAATGCAAAAGCTCGAGATCAGTACTGCTTGATGCTATCGAAATTGACAGATTCATGTTAAAAATGCTTGTCTATAATAATTCTGCTCGATCTTGAATTTATTTTCAACATGTATTGGCGAGCAGAACACTCTCTCTTTCTAATTTTTTTCTCCTTTTTTTATTAGGCCAAGTGACAGCTATTGTTTATAGCTTTAACTTTCGATATTTCTCTCTTTGTCAAAATATTGGTTGATGGACGATCATGATTACCGTCGAGCCGTAATAGAAAGGAAAAAGAACAAAATTGCATGTCCGTAAATATAAGCGAAAGCAGAAACATTTGAAATCATTGTAAACTATTGCGCTGCATATATATCATTGAGTGTGAAGTCAACAACATAAGAAGAGCATGCAAATGGGAGCAGTTCATGCAATACGATTCAGATCGGAAGATGCTAGACTTGCACATGAAGATAATAATCTTGAAACATTGTCATTAATCTGGCTCGATGACTCAATCAAGAACGCCAAAGAAAATCTTATCATTCAACATAAACTTCGCACCGTGATCCATCATGTAATAACATTTAATGATGTTCATAAGTGCAAGAAGTACATAAAATCTATGTCGAAAGACGATAGAATAGTTCTGATCGTAACTGATCATTTGGGTTCAGAATTGATACCACGAATTCATATATATAGACAAGTCAGTGCAATTTATGTATATACGAAAAATCAAGCAAAAAACGAAGAATGGACAAAAACATTCCCAAAAGTAATTCTAGTTTTGTGTATACTCATGGAAAAAAACACACGAATTAAACTTTTTTCCAGTTATTTCATTCGTTGAGATATACTAACTTTCTACTTATTAGCTTCGATTTTGATCGATCTGCTAATCTCAAGTCGATTTTATTCATGTTGATCATGCTGATACGTCTTTTACGAGACTAGAATTTGATGTCCTATTTTTTATTTTTGATCCCATCGTGTTCGATGTTATGATTTAAAACAACGTTATAAGAACTCCGATTAATCAGAGATATATTAATCGATTTTTTTTTCTGAGAGTAATTAATAATTTCAATCATGAATTAATCATCACTTAATCACATTTTTCTTCATTTCGGATATTACTGAAATAATATATTTCAATATGATTTTTGTCAAGACGTTCTACATGATAGGTAGATTGTCGTATATGACGTTCACCAATAAATAGAGACCTTTTAAGGAAAGCAAAAATCTAAGGAAAGAATTATCAACAAAAAGTGTATTCGTGTGTTTGTTGCTTTAGGTCAAAGGTGTTCATGGAGATTTGGAGATGATACTAGCCAAAATCCGATCATATCAAGCAAATATAAGATTCAAAGTTGATGAACCACTTGTAGCCAGTATTTTTGCACCAAACAGTAATCAAGATCAATCAACAACTGAACTCAATGGTAAATTTATTCACTCAGAGGTATCGATTGATGTTCTTCTTCGAATGAAATCAAACCCAACGGACAAGAATGAATTCATCGATCTATGCAAAGAAGAATACAAAGATAACGAGGAAGAATTGGCAATTATAGAAGAATTTCAACAAAGTTATTCACCTGATCGAGCTCTGTGGTGGTATACACGAGATTCATTCCTTTATCGGTTACTAAACAAAGCCCTTCGTGTTCAAAATACTGACATAATCTTTCTCTTTCGATTTTTTATTCGTGATATAGAACGACAACTCGAACAATATAAATGTACGGCACCCATACGCGTCTATCGAGGTCAATTGATGCCGAACGAAGAATTAAAAATATTGAAAGATTCTATTGGACATTTTATCTCCATGAACTCATTTCTTTCGACGAGTATCGAGCGGAAACAAGCACTTGAATTTCTCAATGCTACTACTATCTCAGATGATTTGCAATGTGTCTTAATTACGATTGATGCCGATCCTCGACTTGATGGTGTCAAACCTTTTGCCAATATTACCACTCATAGTTATTTTCCCGACGAAAAAGAAGTACTCATGATGTTGGGATCCATCTTTCAACTGATTGATATTCGAAGCGATGATAAAATATGGCTCATGCGAATGAAATTATGTGGCGATAATGATCATGCATGGAAGCCTATCTTTGCACAGATGAAAAACCAATACGGTGGAGGTGATGGACAAACCGATCTTCTCTCATTTGGATCAGTACTCAGTGATATGGGGAAATACGATGATGCTGAAAAATACTTTCGTCGTCTACTTAATGAACTTCCTCATGGTCATGATGGTATTGCTCATTGCTATCATAATCTTGGCGAGATTGCTCTTGAAAAAGGTAACTATGACGCCAGTCTCGAGTGGTTTTACAAATCGCTTGAAATCAAGATGCAAACGTTGCCGTCGCATCATCCTGATCTTGCCGAGAGCCACAACAGTATAGGAATAGTGCATCGGAAGAAAGGTGATTACGAACGAGCACTACAGTCTTACACTAAGGCATTAGCGATTTTTAAGCAAGCATTCAACGAGGATAACACAAAAATAGCCAAATGTTACAATAATATTGGTAATGTCTACCAGTTAGAGACGAAGTACTCAGCTGCACTTGAATATTATCAAAAAGCACTAGCCATTCAACAACGTCAATTTCATGGTGATTATCCAGACTTAGGCTCATCATATGGCAATATTGGTGGTGTTTACCAGTGTCTTGGTCAGCATGATCATGCATTGAAAAATTATAAAATGTCACTCGAAATTCTCGAAAAGTCACTTCCTTCTCAACATCCATTGATTGCGACGACGTTCAAGAATATAGGGGTTGCCTACGAGAACGAAGGCGAGTTGCAGCAAGCATTGGCATATTTTGAAAAAGCAGAGGCTATTCGTCGTCAAGCATTATCTTCGACACATCCTCATATTCGTCTTATTGAGGAAGACATTCAACGTGTAAAAGCTCAAATGAACAAATTTTCGTAGCTCACTTTTATGGAATTTTAATTAGCAACTGCTTCAGACTTTAAAAAAGATGAAAATGAATCATAGGGAGGACGTGTATATTGTATTTAAATTGACATTCATCTACGCCCATATCCCCCCCCCTTCCCCCGTAATTAGGCTAATTTTTAAGCAACTGGTTTTCGCCGTATTTTTTACGATTGCAACAACATTCTGATACCATTAGATATACTAAATTTCGACGCATATTTTCAATTTTTAAATCTTAAAAAAGCACGATTTTCATTTTTAGTCAAATGCCCGCCTAGATGTACACAGGGCTTAATCCTCAAACCTCCACAAATGCCTAGTTAGTTACATACACACGCATTCAACCTCTTGCAATTCTATCACATCTGGTCATACCCACATCCTTACCTTCACCTGCACAAGTGTATCCTCACCTATGTCCTCAAATGCAAAAAAGAACAGAGTTCATGTAATTTTTCGTATAAGGGAATAATAATTGGATAGAGAATAATCAGCATGCATGATTGCTTATGGGTACTGATAAAGTGAATTAGATAAAGAAGCTGATCGTGTCATTTAGCTGATGCTGATTCGGTTGTGAATTGGATTTAGTTGCTATTATAATTGGTATACTGATATCGAAATTTGTAAAGAAACCGCTGGTGATAATTTTGATTTCTAGAACATATTTTACATTTAATTTAGCCGTTTGAAGGAAGTCGTCATAAAACTGATACGATGGACGTAAATACCTAAGACAAATACTTACAGAAAACGTATCCATTATCTGTTCCTCGTTTGTGTTAACAATTGTGGGTATGATTATTTGGACGAATGGTTCTTTTTCTGTAACATTCTGGATTCGATAATATTGAATCAAAGATAAATAAATGTGTTTCAATGTAATTTTTCGTGGATTTTCAATTTCTCAGGTTTCCGTAATGATCTCATCAAATGCATGAATCACTTTCTTGATACTGCTCTTCAGAGTAATATCTTTACGATTTTGATTACTGAGTATAGATGGCATTAAATACTGCGGATTATTCAATAGATTGACACATGGAAACACTGTCAAATAGAGAATTTCATTTTTGTTTCATTTGTGGCAAGATCTATGAAGTACAAAACCCAAGTAATATCGAACATGTTAATAGTTGTTTGGGTCATTGATCATACGTGGAACGGAAGGATTAATCGATTTTTTGGTTACTGGTTCCGGACCTTTGAAAACTTTTTTTTTCTGAAAAAAGCATAATATATGGTAATTAGTTTCCGTACGTATTGAACCGTCTGATTAATGAGCGATACGTGATGTTTTATAACCGGTATTGCCATTGAATGCAACAAATAGTTCGTTGACTTTGAAGTGTTTTCTCATTATTTCTACATTGACTACTCTTGACACTGATTTGTCTGCATAAAAGAAGAAATTCATTCGATCGAGATTAATATTGATATTGACACTATTGCCAAAGTCCATTTTCCTTCGAAAACTTCTCTGAAGAAAAGTTGATCAATTGCAATTCGGTCAAAAGAAGACAAATAGTCAATAAAGAAACAGGTTATTTTTGACATTTTTAGTCTTAGAAAAATCATGTGACAATAGTGCAGTCATCGATTCTAAGCCTGCATTGATTTAGTCACAATTTTGATTCTTTGCCTAGCTTCTATCAAAATAATCTTGGGATAAAATATTCGCTGACTTTTTGGCTAATGACAAACAATGAATGAAAGTTAATATTAGTGAGCAGAAGTCAAAAGGTTGTCCTGTTTCTTAATATGGGTTCTCATCAAATTCGCATAGGTTATAGTGCGATAATATTGAAGAAGTTATGAAAAGTCTTTGAAGAAATAGTTTAGATGAAACAGATGGGTCTAAATTTTTTGATTTTCTGGAAAGTATTTTGCCTCAGTCAAGAATAATTCGTTATGAATAAAAACTTTATGGTCTTCCTGAGTATGGAGACATGAATGATGTGTCGATGTGACAAAAGTATAAGTGAACATTTGAGTGGGAGTGGATGTCGATCTCTTCTTCATCCGCACTGATACCCATACTCATACCCCCGCCCAAAGTACTGGGTCCAGTGGCAGACTTTTTTCGACAAACAGCAGTCTCTACAAACTGTCAGTTCGGGTTCGATTTGATGTCACCAACATTTGACGACAAGTGAGCACCGATCGTGCACACCCATATTCGACAGACGCTGTTTGTCGTATTGTTCGTACAATAGTTCGTTCACAACTTCATAATTTTGTTTCAGAAAAACTTTCTTAGAATAGAGCGACGATGTCTCTGTGTAAGTCGCTCGAATGTGAAGGCACGCTTTAGCGTAGTCAAGGCTCGTCCTGATGAGTTTCTCGCTCAGTTGTTGTCTTCGATATTCTTGATCAATCGAAATCACCATAGTGTAGAGAAACCTATCGACGTCGAACAAGTCGAATATAGTGTGAGACAATTGTTGTTTCAGCGTTGATGTCAGTTTGAAAATATAACCGAGTCTTTTCGATTCAAATTCATCTCCCGTACCGCCGTGAGCGTCGTTTCTGCTCTGTAGCTCATTCAGAATAAAGCCGATTTGTCTTGTTCGTCACGTTGTCGACGGCAACGAATGAACATCTGTCGAGGACGCCTTGTTGTGTCGTATAATCCAGAAAGTCCAGCGGCTCGTCAGGTAACTCAAATTTCAAGCGTTGATTTAATGGCTCATCAATCAAGAATGAATTTATCAACAGCCGTTGGACGTCATCCACATGTTCATCGGTCATTAGGCAGATATTAACATTCGAGTCCAACATTGTCTATAGAGATCTACGTATTTAGTTGAGAAAACTTCTTTAGTTTACTTCCAAACAGTACAATTGCAAGTAAACACGTTTTAATGCCGGTTGGTCTGCTTCTTTTTAACAAAATATGATGGGAATACTTTAACGTATATATAAGTATTACCGCAGTGCGAAAAATATGAGAGAAAAACGAGTGTGAGTACGGGGAACAGATAAAAGTAAGCACATGGGCTACTCTTATTTTTATCTTCACCAGTCTGACTACGGCATCCACGTGGATTTCTGATCTGACGAAATTAGTTGTTTTGTTTGTTCGGTTCTGTGTTGAAATAAGCGCACGCAAAAAGATTTATTATGTCAATCTACGTATCGATGTTTTCTTTATGATTTTTCTCATAATAAACATTCGTTTGTGAGGTAGCTTTTTGAAAAAGATTAATTTAAATTAAAAGACCTGCTGAAGCCCCATCTGTCAAAAATTTTCGTCTTCTCAGAACAACCCATTTGCCTAAAGTTTTTCAGGGTATATGCGCCTGAGTCTAGATAGTTCACGGCAAAAATTTCCGTCCAAATATTGAGTTGTTCAAGAGTTGTAGGTCAAAAACTAGATGTCCGTGCGTCATAGATTTCTCCTCAAAATCTAATGATAAGTAAAGTACATCGATTACCGATACACTCGATCCTATACTAAAAGTTGATGAAATGTAACGAGAGCGACCACCTGAGTGAAACTGTCAAAATCACAACGTTCGTGAAAATCGAAAGATGTTCACCAGGAAAATTAGACTTGAATATTTCAGATCTCGAGATAAATCAATACGAACGATGAAACCAATTTAAAATTCAAAAGCAGAAGCGCCTATAGATTCGAACTAAAAATACTTGCAAAAGTTCAAATTGTACAAAAGTTGAACAGTGTAGGAATTCTGTTAAATTGTAAAATAACCGAAAAGTCTGAAAACAAAATAGAAGGCGTAGAAAAGGGTGGGTGTGGAGTGTGAGTGTGGATATGGATTTGGATGTGGAGTGTGGTCGTAGGTGTAGGTGGGGTCTCTGTAAGAATGTCACTTGTCTTCATCCACACTCACTTCTACCCCCACCCTCCACACCTACACCCAGTCTTATAACAAATGAACTTAAAATCATATGCTCATGACAGACGTTAATAATAGACTTGAAACAACTGAATATTCTACAGAAAAAAATTTGACATAACTTTTGACTATGTTGGATTACAATGAAGTACTGATGAAGTACGAGCGAAGTACAGTGAAATACAACTTAAGTGTGCACTCTTGAAATCTCGTTTTTTCCCTCTTGCGTTTTTATATAAAACTGTGAAATCGAAAAATGATCTTATTACCATTTGTCCTTTTCAAAATAAAGATGTGTAAAAATGATGAACGAAATATCTCATTAATTCCAATCGGTCATAGACAGCAATCGAGAGCATGTTCATATAGATAGAGTATTATTATAATTTAGGTTTTAAAAGAAAATTTCTCTTGAAAACTATCTTTTCATCAGATATTAATAAATAGCATTGGTAAAGAAATAAAAATGACATAAAAATCAAATGCAAAAAATTCATGCATTGTAATCTTGTTCGTACATTTCATCACGAATTTTATGTAGAGAGCTGAAATCTTGGGAAATTAAAGATCTTAGTTGAAGATATAAGTGATTGAAATTTTAGAGTTGTGCATAAAAAAAATATGTCAGAAATATCGTAGAAAATTAATAATCAGTTATTATGAAAAATCGTTTATTGTCACAATTATTTTCTTCTACTTTATGATTCATATTACTCACGCAGACAGATAAACGCTAAAAACGTCGTTTTGACTCATTGAAGGTGAAAACAGAAGAAAATAACGCTTAATAACTCGTTCACTCGGCAAATGAAAGGAATGAACCAGTTTCAACGCGTTTAACTTTTCGTTGACGCATTTTAACGAACTGAAAAAATATATTAAGGTAAATGACATGTTGTAACGCATTCAATACAACAATTAAACAAATGAATGCATTGTAACATGAATAATCGTCTGTTTTAGGGCGTTGATAAAAAATAAATTGCAGGATAATCACTCGTTCTAACTAATCTATATAGTATTTTGCTATAGCAAAGTGTATTTGTAGTAAGGCAAACATCTATCAATTCATTAATGGTAGGCACTTCCACTTTGGTTGAGTACTGAATGATAATATAGATTTATGAA